GCCTGAAGGGTGGTCCACCATAGCATCAGGATTTGAACCCTCTCCGTCCCCAGCAGGAACAGCCGACGTGCCAGCATCGCCGGCAGAAGAAGCCCTCTTTGACTTCTTGGGAGGCTTCATTCCCACCTCCGTCAACTTCTTCTGGCCCTCTTCGGCCTGCCTCTTCTTCTTCGGCTGGACCGGCGGCTTGGCCGCAGCAGTAGCCCCAGGTTGTTGGGCCTTCAGCTCCTCGGCCGCTTTGAGTTGGGCCCTCTTCATGAACGACATGCGGTCCATCACAAAACCTGCATCACAAAAAAAAAACACTAAGGGTTAGAAAGCAAAATACGAAAGTACGACAAGGAAGCACGTCAGAAGGGACTTACCATCGGCCTCAGCTGGCACCCCCAGATCGGGACCATCAACCTCCTCATAGGACGTGGTCATCTTCGGCCACAACTCCACATCATCGTCGAGATCACCATACACAAAATACCGTACAAAACCGAGGGCGGCCATCTTGTACTCGGTAATATATGTCTTCACACTCCTCGGCCCCCCCTCCAGGAAGGCCTCAACTTGAGCGTCCAGGATGGAGCTCCTCGGCGCATCATGAAGATTAAAACGGCCTTTGTGGCCGACGGAGGGAAACTCTGTGCCCCCCTCGCCCAGAGACACGAACACAAACTTCCCTTTCCACTCATGGATGGACGTCGACAGGTCTGTGAAACTCCTCTTCTTGGGAAGTTGTTGAAGGGTGGCATACGACGCACAGTTCTGATGACTCCCACGGCCTATCTGATACAAGTTCATAAACAGCGCCGTCGTCGGCCTGAAGTCCAATTCAGCACACCGCAGGATGAAGCCGACGATGAGGGAGTAGCTATTCGGCGTCAACAAGGCCGGAGGGAGCCCCACCATATCCAGGTACTCAGTGATAAAAGGATGAAGCGGAAACCTAAGCCCTTTAGCAAAGCTCATCGGGTACACTCTGAAGTAGCCCGTGGGGGGATTGAGGACGTGGTCCGTCAGCCTGGGGGCCCTAACCCTGCCGTACGGCCCCACGTACATTTGGGCGACCAAGTATTCCCCCGCATTACTCTGCGGCCTGATGACATAGATGTTCGTCAAATCAAGGTGAGAAAAGGCTGGCCCTCTCTTCGGCCTCCTAACCCTCCTCGGCGGTGCAACGCCCTTCACAGCAGACACAGGTTTAGGGCAGGGGATGGCAGCCGACGTAGATGCCCCATCAGCAGTTCGAGAGACCCCCGCGTCCTCACCCCCAGACGATGACGCAGACCCCTCGTCCGCATAGTCCTCTTCGGCCGGCTCCCCGGTATGGAACGAGCTCAGATTCTCAATCTCCTCACAGAACTCCTCGAGAAGGTCATAGTCAAGGGACTGGGCAGAGGGCTCGTCGTCATAAGGATAGTACTCCTCGTTGAGGTTTTTCATCTTAAACACTATCTCGAATATACTGCAGCCTACTTCAAGATCTAAGGATACTCAAGGGCCTAACACTAGATCACTAGCCTAGGAAGCAAAACATGCAAAGTACAGAGAGGATTTCGATGAACACTAACCTTGAACAAACGAAGAACACGAAGAACAAGCTTCAGAGTTTATCTCTCTAGAAATCCGGGCAGCACTTCGACAAAACTCAGAAAGCAAATGAGTTTTCTCGTCGGAGGGGGAGGGGTATTTATAGAACCCCCCACCCAACGGTCACCACACGTGGCACCCTCCCAATGGCCACGTCAACGGCCACCAATGAGAGGCCGCCACGTCAACAACGGGCCAAGCAAAACATCAAGAGCCCGCCAGCAAGCGCCCACAGCGGCCTATTCACATACCAAATTCACAAGTGCCAACGATAGGGAGATGACAACGGCCAGGAACGTAATGAACGGCCACAGGACCAAAGGAACAAAAACCCACAGCCGTCGGTTCCTCGTAACGACCCTTGATGATAACTCTTTACAAGCGATCTGCGCACAAGGGTTCTCCCACAGGGTTACCTTGGCCAGAAAATCGCCATAAGGGTTGGATTCAGGGGCACTACGGAGAGGCCGCCTCGGCTTGGGACTCAGGCAATTCCTTCACCCCTCACACTCTTCGGCCTGAAGAAGTGGGGGACTGGGGGACTACACTGGCCTCAACAAAAACAAAAGAGAATGCAAACAAGGTAACCACAGAGCATGGCCACATCGGCCATGCGTCACACTGCACCTCGTCGACCGAAGGCACACAACGTCATCTGCAACGGCCAACAGGCCACCAAAGGCAAGGACGCTCATCGTCCTTCGCCATCACTTAATCACGAGGGGCTCTTCGGCCAAAAACATGAAAGCTAATCAACGGCGGCCAAAAGGAGTGCGCAAACACCCCCATCGGCCACCCAAAGGAAAGGACGCCATCGTCCTCAGAGCAAGGAACAACCTCAACGGCCTCATCGGCCCAAACTTCAACCATCAACGTCCATGAAAAGGAAAGCGTGCCTTCAACGGCCACCATCAAAGTGAGAGACTCATCGTCCTCGAATGAATACACCAGAGGAAACAACGCCAACGCCGCAACGGCTAACGACCCGGGGATGCCCGCATCGGCCAAAAGCGCTAAAACACGGGAATCTACTCTCCTTCACTTCGTCTACGTCTCAGCTTAGAGAGTGGGGGACTCCTGATGGAGTATATGGGTCTGAGCCCCTGGACCCACATACTCGGAAGAACAAGAAAGCACAAGACACAGAGTGGCGCCCTCGTCGGCCAAGACGCCCCCGTCGGCCGAAAAGGGGCCAACTCAGATTATGGTCCTGAGTCCAAGGAACTCGGGTGCCCCCGTCGGCCGTGCCCTCGTCGGCCGTGCCCTCGTCGGCCACGCCCTCGTCGGCCACGAAGACCTCCCAGAACCGGATTTTATACTTATTCATTTGTACAGCCCATTAGTGGCTTTGTATTCGGCCCAGTAGCGGTCCAGTTGTAAATGGGCCTCCCAAGCCCAAGGCTTGGGAGCCCAGCCCGTATTTTCTCTATAAATACTCCCCTTGGGAGTAGTTGTAGGGGTTCAGAATTCATTAATATCAAGCAAATACACTACTTCTCTCTCTAGCTCTCACTTCTCTCTAGAGATATACTCTATCAGAGCGAATGGGAGAGAGCGGTGTCCGCTCTGTGTTGGCGGAGTACGAGCGCTCTACCTGTCGTTCATCCGCCAAACGGCGAATGGTGTCTGATCTCCCGCATGGCATTCGGATCTTGTCGGACTTCATGGGGGATCATGTCGGTGAGCACCCCGAAATCCCCATGAGTCCACAAGCTGCCAGTCTGGGCGCTCGTAGCCTGTTGGCGGGCTCTTCTATTGCGTGACAACCGTTCAGAGAGGACAAAGGAGTTCCCTGCATTGTTTCCTGCCATCTCACATGTTTTTAGTTGCTTAGAGTGATTCTTAGCTAAGAGCTTAGTTTGGAAGAACATTTTGATCAGTTTCCCACAGACGACGCCAATGTTGAGGTTTATTCCGTCAACCCGTATGCCCAGCACATGACCCAAGGGTTTCGAATGGAAGAAATAAAGAAGTAGATGTAGAAACAAGCAAGAAAAGCCCAACAAGAAGTCTTAATACAATAATCTCGATACAAAGGCGTGACGCCGTTCGTCCCCTCGCTATGCTATGAACTGTTACAATGCTATACTATTAGAGTGCTTAGTTGTCAATCCTTTACAATGAAATAAATGCTTCTATTTATACTGTCAATGGGTAGTTGGATGCATTGACGTGACAGGCTGTGGATGGCTTGACCCCAACCACCAAATCTTCTGCATTAAATGCGCTTCCCGCCAGGATCTTGGCTCCCCGCCAAGGGGTGGGGACGTTCGTCCCCATGAGCTTGCCTCCTATTTCCTGCTGGGACATTGGCTTCCCGCCAAGGGGTGGGGACATTCGTCCCCATGAGCTTACCTCTTGTTTCCTGCTGGGACCTTGGCTTCCCGCCAAGTGGTGAGGACGTTCGTCCCCATGAGCTTGCCTCCTGTTCCCTGCTGGAATCTTGGCTTCCCGCCAAAGGTGGGGACGTTCGTCCCCTCAAGCTTGCTTCCTGTTTTCTGCTGGGTCCGAAGTCCTGCAGACGAGCGTCTCATGCTTCTCCTGGGCCAAGGTACTTGCAACGCTAGGATACGTATGTCCCCTAAGCCCTAGTGTTGATGCTTAGCCCTGTCGGGGACGAACCTCGCCAGGATAAGCGGAAGGGTAACCCGTTATCTTGGACCTTCTGGGGACGTTCGTAGGGCGGACCTTGAGGGTTTCATGGCCCAACCCCGTTGGGCCATTAACCCAACAAGTATATTCATAGATTAGATTCCATCATGTTATTCTTCTACTTTACCCTAACAAAGTATGATTAGATATCTATCACTTTGTAGTTACTCCAAGAAAACTAAAGATAGCATCATGTTAAACCGGCCTATTGATCCAAAAAAAGGTGGAATCTCCCACCCCAGGAGCCCCCCCACCCCGACCCGACAGGATGGTGGGGAGGTTAGTCACGGTGACTCAGTCAGCAGAATGACAGTAAGCCCATACACTCGTGCGCACCAGAGGCCCAGCCTTATTTCAGGTTCTGTGACCTCCACCCGGTCGCTGCGGGGATTCGAACCTTGGTCCATTGATCCAAATCTCCCACCACTCGACCAATTGAGCTACCCGTGCGGGTAAAACTAAGGTATGGGTAAACTTTTTATAGTGACTAGCTCCACCGCTTTCACGGCCCCTTACCTCAGAAACCCAACTTTGGTTTGGCCCTACGGGTTAGTATACATCGCTTGGCCCTACCACTTGAAGGTTTTTTTTGGGGGAGCATAGTTCCACTGGTGCTAGTGGGACTCGAACACGAGACCTCTCCTATGCAGGGGTAACCGCTCAACCAGCTAGACTGTTTAGAATGTTAAATCGGCCTAAAGACCATGTCAACGTCAATGTTTGGAATAATATAAACATGGTACATTTTCATACCAATAAATCAAGAATCACAGTATCCAACATATTTTTAAATTAAAGAGAGAAGTAACGCTGCAAGATATACTCGCTAACACATAACCGTCGTTAAATAAATTGACGTTTGATTTTATGAGCCAAACTTCCAATTTATTTTGGTAGGACTTTGAAATACCTAAAACTTAAACTATCTTTAATTGTACTTGATTTTTAATCATTTCATCTAAATATGAAAATGAAAAAATTTAGAAAGAATGACTAAAATATTAGCCATGAACTTCAACTAGGCAAAAATATGACCATTTTTTTTGTGGACAAAATTGTGACCCTCAAATAATCCTCCTTCCTTCGGTCCGTCATCTTCCCAAGGAGACTTCTTCGCACGCCCAAGCATCGATCTGCAGACCAGCCCCTTTCTTCGCACCGCACATATCCATGTGGAGACCAGCCCCTATCACGCACAGATACGGATAGCATAGCGCCAGCCCCTTCCGTCTGGCTCCGCGTCGCCGCCTCCGCCGTCTGGCTCCGCGTCGCGTCGCCTCGCCTCGATCCGCCGGCTGTTGGACACTGATTTTTGAACGGAGGATCTACTGGGATGTGTAGTCGACTCGAAAATGGAGCAGAGGCCGTGACGCAGTTGTATTGGACCAGAGCATGGTCACTGAGGTACATATCCGAGTAGTTTCTGCAACCTGGGCGAGAGGTTTCCTGTGATGCAGCTTCTGCGTCTGTGGACACGACAACGGGTTAGGTTGTTATATCTGATTTGAGCGACGCACAGGTGGATGGTTACGCCGGTGATCGTTCGTTCGTTTAGTGTCTTGAGACAACTTGGAACCTACCGGAACTTGCAAGATGTCATAATTCCAGTGGGCTTCACTCTAGATGGGGCGTAGGGTGTTTCACCCTGACAGGGGTGGTGCTTGTGACGGGTGGCGGTTTGGATGTATAAATTTTAATCGGAAAAATTACCGGAAAAGTTTTTCCAGTGAGCAAAGTGACATGTTTTGCCGGTAGGTTCATCTGTTAAGTGACACGAAAATCGATAGTAACATCCTTTAAGTGACATTTTTTGAAACGAGTTAAAATTTAGTAATATCCAGGCAAAACCCAAAAAATTATACTAAAAAATTGAAAAAAAAACTAAGCAACCTAGCCTTGAACCCACCTCACGACATCCCGCCCCGCTCCACCGCCAATTACTCTCCCGATAAATTAATAGGTGGTAATTCAGGCCAACGTCCCGCCTCGCTCCACCGCCGGTGGGAATAACTGTCTCTCCAGATCTTGCTCACCATCTTCTCCGGCATAACATTGGATACTTTGGATCCTTCTAGACGATCTCTCTCTACCCAGAATTTTCGCGAACGAACTCAGTCGAAAGCTGGAGTTAGATTCCTCTGTAGTACTCACAATTTTGGCCGAACGCGGTTCTAGCTCGCTGGCGGCGCCAACGGATGTTCCCTCCACGTTGCCAAACACACCGTTGTTGACTGCCAGATCGACGACTCTGACGGCGGCCTCCCGCGGCTCTGGGGACAATTGACGCGCGCAGCAACGTGGCAGAGCCTCCGCGCGACAGATGGGGCACGACGATTGGGTACAAAACCATCTGTCTATACACTCTGCATGGAAAGTATGGCCGCAATGCGGCAAATCCCTTACCGTCTCGCCGTCTTGTAGAACGGTCAAACAAACGGAACACTCCTCGGCCGTTTCATTTTCCTCTGTTTTCTTGAAAACGGTCGTCGGGAGTTCCTGAGCGATTACGTAGGGTTGTAACCCACCAATCTTAGGCGGCTCCCCGGAGGGTGCAGCACGGGAGGCGGCCGCCGCAATCAGCAGCCGTTGGAGTGCCGCGTGCCGCCGCTCTTGCCGTCTTAAGATGCATCTCGCGTAGAGGTGGAGAAGCGTGACAATGAAAACGACGGCGGTAAGTGAAATGATGGCGGTGATCATGATCTTGCTGGTGAGGTCAGTGCGGGTTTTCCGCTGAAAGAAGGAGGAATCATCGCCGTCATCGAAAGCCATGGCAAGGTCAGCAGTTATGCTAGGACAAGGGGGATATTTAGTGGTTGGTTTTATAGAAATCTTCCAAAATCAAATTTTCATGTTTCTATTTCGTAAAAAGAGGAATAGGAATGCTGAAGATATCTCATTTTGTACCGACCTATCTATATTTGTGGCTCATAAAAATCCCAATTAAATTAATTGCTCCATTTTAATGAAGTGATTTTGTGAACCACAAACATAGGGAGTACAAAATGAGCTACAAAATAAGGTTGCTTTAGAGCATTTCCAATGCTACAATATGCACGGTGCACACAAAAAATTAAATTTATGACATTTCTCTCTCCTTCTTTTCACGGTTTTGTTTGTTTTTGGTAAAAAATTTTCAACAATGTCAACCACAATGTCTACATCTAGACATTGTGTTTGACATTCTAGAGAAAAATGTACCAAAAACATATAAGACCGTTCAAATAAGGAGAGAGATAATCTATTCTTTATGTTTTAATTGGTTATCTCTCATGCCACGTATGCATCGTTCACATTTTTGCATTGGAGATGCTCTTAGCATTTGTGCCGTAAATATCACTAATTTCTGCCAAGTTTAAAGCTTGATAATGCCAACCTTGACAGAAATTAGTCATATTGATGAAATAAAAACATGACAGTTCTATTTTGGAATTTCAATTTTTTTACTCCTATTTAGGTAATTTTCCATTGGTTTTATACTCCTTACATAGTATGCGGTATTTAGGAATTTCTCAAAATTAGTTCAAAACATATTGGGGGTGTTTGGTTAGCAGCCTATCAGCCATTTTTTGGCTGCTTTGACTGTTAATTGGCTTTTGGACTATATTAATCAGCTGATAGAAGTGTTTGGTTAATGACTTTTTAATTTGGCTTTTTGTTTGAAACGGCCGAAAATAAAAACGCCGATAAACATGGCGTTTAGGAGTTGGCCGTTTACGTATCTAGCGCATATACCTATTCTACCCATACTCTGTCTTCTCTCTTCGTACTCACGACTTCTTCCAGCCAAAAGAAACAAAGCAAGCAACGAGCAGCTAGTTATCCGGTTTTGCTAGTCCAAGGTCTTCCTCTTCCTCACATGAATGTATAGCTGGAAGCCTGGAACAAAGCAAGAATTCAATCCAGTTTTGTTCTATTTCAAGAGTACGATGAAGAAGAATTTAGAATATAATTTACTTTACCAACAAATTAATCAGATTCCCCAATTATTTTTTGTCATTAGATTGAGAACCAATCGATCGAAATATTAATTACTAGGCATCAAACGCTTCATCCATAGTGAAATCAAGAAGATGAGAAGTAAGAGTTAAACAGGATCACCACAAAAATCTTGAATATACTGTGACACAATTTGGATGGAGAGTGACACTATTTCTTGGCATAGGTGATTTTGAGATCTTGAAGGGCCGGCATCGCAAAGGAGGAGTACTCACCACCAATCACCATCGTACAAGAACACTTTTTAAAAGATTTGTTACTATTGTTAAAAAATTATGGTGTTCTTTTTATTAACAAAAAATGGTGTAAGAAGTTGTACTAATAGCATTAAGAGTGTATACGATACATATATAAAAATAGTTGGTAAATAAAAAATTAAATAATGTCCTTAAAAGTCATTTAATAAGTTATCAGCCGATTGTAAACATCCATTTAACCAAACATCATTCTATAAACCGCTAATACTATCTGCTAATCAAAACAGCTAACAGAATCCGCCGATATCCAAAAGCTGACACAATCAGCCAACAGCTAACAACCAACAGCTAATATCCAAACACTCCCATTAATGTACTCCTGACCCCGCTCAGATTGTATCATCTTTCCATTTTTTTCTATTTCACTAAAATTGTCTCATATCAAATTTGGTAAAATTTGTGTGATTTTAAACTATTTTCACTTTCTTCTTAATTTATCAATTCAATATCAACCACATAAATCAAGAATAACCGTGTCACTTTCTTGAGTTTCATTGTTAAGGACACAAAGGTACTAGTAAAGATTTTAAAATAGGATTAATATACTTGTACTCGTAGCTAGGAGGAATATTGAAGGAATAAAACGATAAAAGCTTCTTTAAATAGAAAGACAGAGAACAATACTTTGGAAAGAAAAAAATGTCATTTCCATTTAGGAGTTTTTCGCTTTAATACTCCGTATATATAGTACCACTATATGAATACTTTACTTAACTTAGGTCTTTTGTTTTCTTTTGGACCGTTTTAAGTTCACACATTAGATCACACTATACTTAAACAAATCAAAGCATATCAAATCAGACTTAAGCAAACTAGATCAAACAAGACTTGTCTTGGAAAATAATAAAATACACATATACCATACATTTACCAGATCAGACGAGACCAAGCCATACTAGACTTAAACAGACCAGGGCAGATCGGATCAGACCAGCAAATTACAGTACAAAAGTAACATCTTAAGTCGTTCTTCTTCCCAAAATCAAATACTCCGGGTATTCTGTATAAACTGACTTAAATAATACTCCCTCAGTCCGAAATTGTAAGATACATTTCCTATTCACTTGATCAACATCAAACACTCTTAATCTTTTACTTTATATATCAAAAGCTTATGAAATTTGAATTATTTTTTTTGCAGATTTTGTAGCGATTTTAATGTAGTTTCAGAATATGTAAATTTTATTTTCTAAAACTAATTTGAGTGTTGACAAGGATCAATTTGTTTTATCGTCGGTCAAACATCGTAAGGAGTAAAGTATCTTACAAATTGAGATGAAGAGGGTATATAGTAGAATGGTGCTAAAATAATCCTAATCTCTCTAACATCATTTCAAAATAATCACATTTTTTGTGGATCTTTCACTGAGTAAGAGTATCTGTAATGCTGAAATGTGCATATAATACAGAGTAGAATGGTCTAAAATAATCATAAACCCTCAAAAATCATTTCAAAATCATGATGTTTATGCTTTTCACCTTTTCTCCATAGCTTTATGTGTTTTTGATATTTTTTTCTTTCAAAAATCATTTTAAAAACATTAATAATTGTGTCAAATCTAAACAAGACACATTAATAAAAGTGTATAGGCTCAAGCTTATGGACCACATACTCTAGAACACACAAGTGGCCCAAAACCATCGAACCACATCCCTCAAGTGGTCACCTCGGCCAACTAGGTGAACAAAAAAGTACTCCCTCCGTCCCATATTTAACTCCGGTTTTGACCGGGCACGGGTTTTAAGATAGTGGGATTTGTGTGGTGGAGAGTTATGCAGAGGAGAAAGAAATGTGTAAGAATGGTTGTGAACCACATATTCTTTACCAAAAAGGGAAAAAGGAGATAAATTTGGGACGGACCAAAAAGGAAAGAATGAAGATAATTCCGGGACGGAGGGAGTAACATGCAAACAGAACAAGACACCGCTAAGTCAACACAATGATCCGTACTAGTCACCTTGACAAGTATCACCTCATCCATCACTGGACATGTATCTAGACAATCATTTTTAAGATAAGGAAACAACAAGGACGAGGTGCACATGCACCTCGGCCAATGACACGTCGTTCTACAATATATACCTACTTGACAAGTGTTTAGAAAATGACACGTGTCACTCTATGCAGCACAACAGATGTAGAGGGTTATGAATTCATTAATATCTGATGTCTTCTCTCTCTAACTTTAGTTTTCTTTTTTCTTTACAATACCCGGTTCATACTTGGATTCTCACAATGTCACACATGAAACAGGACGGGTTCCTTTGCAAAAAACATATTCATACCCCGATGGCGCAATACCCACATTGAACGCAAACATTAATAATCAAAATATTACTACGTCCAATGCAACGTCTCTTCACAAACAGTGTTTTCTTTGCATATATTCGTTCTCTTTTTCGTTGATCCAAAAGGTGGAATCTCCCACCCCAGGAGCCAGGGGCGTATACAAGGTGGGGGCAGGGGGGAAGCTACCCCCACCCAACCCATATATATATATATATATATATATATATATATATATATATATCCAATTTAAAATTATTCATATATTTGCATGTTAATTAAAGAGATATTATACAATAAGTATGAAAATAATAGCTTCAAGTGTTTGTAGGTCTGGGGTTCGAAGCATTTGAACTCTTTTTCAAGTTTTTCTATTTTTTTCCCTTGCTTCACCTTTTGTTGTTTTCTTGCAATTGCCCTAAATCTTAAACCAATTCTAAGTGGTTTACATTATTCTTTTTTATTCTTTTTTTTGTTGGAAAGATCTAAACTATATCAATATAGTTACAATTATAGTTTAACATGTGAATTGATTTTGTACATAATATAAATTAATATTTTCAATATACTTGTGAATTTTCAATTTAAATTAATTCTAAATACATGTTTAATCCTTCCCTTAGTTGATTCATTTATTTATTGACGTAATTTTGCACAAACTACAAACACTATGTGATAAAATTATTTCTAAGAAAGTGATTTTAATTAAACATGATATCTTAATGTTTTTGTCTTGAAAATACTTTTTTATGTAAAGTTGATTTCACAGTAATCTTAATTTGATTAGTCTAATTTTTGTAGTAATTTTGTTTCTTAATCTAAGGTAAGTTCGCCCCCACCGGCGTACTTTTCTGGATACGCCATTGCCAGGAGCCCCCCACCCCGACCCGACGGAATGGTGGAGAGGTTAGTCGCAGTGACTCAGTCAGCAGAGTGACAGTAGGCCCATACATCCGTGCGCATCAGAGACCCAACCTTATTTCAGGTTATGTGACATTCATCCGGTCGTGAGGATTCGAACCTTAGTTTATTGATCCAAATCTCCCACCACTTGACCAACTCAGCTATCAATGGACGTTTGCAAATAAAATCGACGGAAGTTTGACTCCCATCCGTTTTAAAAAAACAATCTGCAAAAGTGATCTCGATGTCATTAAACAAAGATATGGCAATTCTGAAAAACTTCAACTGGTGGACTCCCATATGAGGAACATGAAGAGCATTACTAATCATTATTGCTACGAAATTTCATTTGGGTGTTAATAACAAATAAAATATGTCAATATTGTACCAATATCTATTGACTTT